AAAGAACCAAACTATGAAGATCAATGGAATCTTATGTTCTATGCTAAAAGATATGCATAGGAATGGGTAAATTGACGCATGGACAAGAAATGCAATCTAAGAAAGGATGCATGACTACCAGCAGCATACGGATTACAGAAGATACACAAAGAATACGAGCAACTAAGGCTGCTTGTCAACAACTAGTATGGAGCAACACACTTAAATTAGTAAAGTTTATATGTTTGAAGCTCAATAAATCAAATGAGAGGCTATCAAACACGGTAAAATATTCATATGAATTTTCTCAAAAAATCAAAAACATGGCACTGGAAGAAACGTACATAATGGTAAGCTTCGATGTGGAATCGATGTATAAAAATATCTCTGGTGAAAATGCGCTAACCGCCTTGCTGGAAATGCTGGACCGAGTGGAGGATATCCTGGAATCACAATGGATCGGTATGGAGTCGTTAACAAGACTAATCAACTTGACAATAATGGCAACCTATTTCATATTCAACGGGAACATCTATGAACAAATATTCGGACTTTCTATGGAATCGCCACTATCACTATTTTGGCAAACATGTACTTGAACAAAATAGAAGAGAGCTTCAGGATGGCACTGCTACAAGCGGCAGCGCTCATGCGGTACCTGGATGATTACTTTTGTCACATGAAAGAGAAAAACTGGAAGAGTTTCTGCAGTTTCTAAACCAGGGTAATGGAAAAATTTAATTCACGATGGAAGTAGAGTAAGGTGAGCGGTTACCGTTCCTGGACGTTGAAGTGATTCGTTGTAATGGGACGCTCAAAAAGTAATTGTTCATAAAGAAGTCCTATGCTGGGATAATACTCAATTTCCATCACAATTACAGGCTATAGATTGGAATAATGAGGAACATGATCATCCAAAGCCTCCACCTAACGGATGTAGAATTCTGGGACAGAAAGCTGGGCAAATTGATTAAGATCTTTTTCGGAAATAGCTATTCAATCAAAGTCATACAAAGAAATATAACGGGCCGTGAAAAGCCGATGGCAGAATTCGGACTATGAAAGAAAAATAAGGATGATGAAGGATTCACAAAAGTGGATAAGCCTACCTTCCTATGAACTAACTCAAAAGGAAAAGGGATCGCGATGAAGAAAGGGGGTGGCAGGGGGTTTCGGCAATAAAACTAACACGTTGTCACTGTGTAATATCCATTTCGAATAAACCAGTACAACTTTGGCGGCTTGGCAGTCAAGGAGCTGGTCAGACGGATAATCAAACCGTCACGGAAATTTGACGTTACGGCCAAAATGCACTATAAATCCACTTGAGTTGCCGCATGCGATTAGAGATAGACGTCCACAGTTTGCTTAGATAACGTGGGTTTTATCAAGGAGAGGATCCGTAAAGGGAAGGCGTGATATCTGCAAGCATGGCAATCAGACCTTAGGCGCTCTACTCAGTGAAGTGGCAGTGTACATGCTCCTAGGGCCTTGAGAAATAGTGCCTGGAGTGAAATGCACATAGGGACTGGAACCGAGTAAAATCTGTCAACCAGAAAGATAAGGAACGGATCTAAGAGACTATGATGGGATCCAGATTTGAAGCCCGAATTGGATCAGCCGATCGAAAGAGAGGGGTCGGGGTAAATAGCAAGTGTGATTGGGTAACACGATATTTGCCACAAAAGGGCACACATTTTTACAAGTGGAATTTAAACAAGTGAGAAGTTGTGATAGAGTGGCAGTCGCATAAGAGGGTAAAGAGTAGATAGATTGGTCAGGACAGAAAGAGGAATAATAGTGTAACCGTTTTCGGCAGAACGTTTGTCGAGGGATTGACTTCACTTATCTCTTTGACAAATTCGTAGCTTGGTGAGAAGAATGTCAAACTCACTGTTGATGCCGACTATGATGCCGACGAAACGTTTGAGAATGTACCAAGTCCACTGTCTGATGCTGGGAATCAT